CTGCCTTGGCCGGGGTCAGGGCATGTCCTGAAGCCTCTGCTGCGATATGATCCCTAGCCAGCCCCGGAATGGGGGCCACGGAAAGCCGTGGGGAAGGGCAGGGCTGGGGCCAGCAGTGGAGCCCGTGACTCATTCGTCTCGACGTTTTGGAGATCAATTGCTTAAGTGTGAAGCCAGGAGCCTCCCCCGAACTCCTCCCCCGGCAGATGCTGGCAGGAGTGCAGGGCAGGCGGGTGCTGGGTCCCGCTCCCAGCTCTGCTCCTAGGGACAGCAAGAAGAGAGAGGTGAGGGGGCTGGTGGGCTCTGCCACCTCTGGGATCTGCCAGCCTCTTCTCGCAGCAGCACCGGCGCTGTGTCCTGCCGCTCATGTGACCGTGGCGGGCTGGAGGTGTCCCCCTGTGCCCTGAGGTGTCAGCCAGTGAGCCCCTCGTCTCCCTCGGGGCTCACTGGGTGCCAGCACCTGCAATCCCGAGCAGCCAGCAATGGCAGCAGCTAAAAATAGGCGGCGGCAGCAGGACAGCCCCGTGCGCGGGAAGCTGTGGGCGGCGGGCGGCGTGCGGGGCTATTCTCAGAGGGCTGCGGGACTATTCCTGGCCGGTCAATATTGATTCAGCCAGCTCAGGTGCAGCAGCTCACCCTGACAGCACCGTATTTAGGGCCCGGCAAGAGGCGAGGCGGGCGGCTGAATCGGGAGCATTGTCCGGCTGAGGAAGAGGGCAGGGAGAGGATGTGAGCTCTGTAATCTGCAGCCAGCGGCTCCCGGCAGCAGCCCGGGTGAGGGGCACGCCCCGAGCCTGCTGTGGCTGAGGAGTGGCCAGCACGGAACATCTGCCCTGGGGACGCAGGGATGGAGCCAGGACACGTGCAGGCAGCTTCCGTCGGGAATAGGAGCATGTGTGAGGCACGAGGGGCAGCTGCTGGTCCTGGCTCCTGTGGTTTCTGAGCTGCTGGGCACGTGTCTGCTGTACACACAGCCACCAAGAGCCGGGGGACTGAGGACAGCTGGGGACTGCAGGTACCCAAGCAGTATCCAGGCAGCCCCCTGCTTGTTGTCAGTACTTAGGATGGTCTGGACCTGCCCGGAGCTGGGGAACTCAACACAAACAACCCTGCATGCACCTGAGCCTGCATCAATGAGCAGAGGAGAGGGTGAGGGGCTGTTTGTCCCTGCTCACTACTCTGAAAGGTGCCTGTCCTCTCTGGCAGCTCCCCCAAGGTTGCATTACCAGCAAGTGTGGATAGCACAGTAGGAGCTGCATGAGTTGCTCAAAAAACACAGTGAGAGTGCTCATGACAGAGCCTGGGCCAGGGTTTATTTCCATGGGCACAGGCAGGGGCTGAGTGAGGCTTGCCGTGGTCATGCAGGGTCCAGGAGCCACTGGGGCAAGGCTGGGTTGTGGCAGAATGGGTGCACTCATCTGTTCAAGGTGACAGCAGCAGCCGGGAGCACAGGGGACCCTGCCAGCCTACACCCAGCTCTCAGGAGATGCTGCTGCCCTGAGGTGCTGAGGAATCAAGTTGGGGATGGGCAGGGCTCTGCATAGCATCAACAGGGCACGCTGCTGTTGCAACCCTGTGTTAGTGAAGTCAGTTTCACCAATCTCATCAGAGGTGCCTGAAATCCTTGATAGCCACCTGGGCGGCATTGCGTCCTGCTGCTCCCATCACTCCTCCTCCTGCAAGAAAGGAGAAATGGGGAATGCTGGTGCACCTCTTCCACATGCCCCTTCCTTCCTTCTGCAGGCCTCCATGAGGGCCCTGGCTCCCAGCTCTGCTCACCAGGGTGGGCTCCACTTCCACACAGGTACAGGCCAGGAATTGGGGACCGGTAGCCAGAGTAGGATGGTGCTGGCCGGGCGAAGTACAGCTGGTCCAGAGACATCCCTCCATGGAAGATGTTCTGCCAACAGAGCTCTGTGTGAGCTAGCTGTGCCTGCCCAGGCCCGTGTGCCCACTAGCACTGGCACCAGGGAGATGCTCAGAGTTGACATGCATGGTACCCACTCCACCAGGCAGCCCAAAGATCCTCTCCAGGTCTGGTGGTGTCAGGATGTCCCTGCCAATGACAGATGCCTTGAAGCCCGGGGCATAGTCTTCGATGCAGTCAAACACTAGAAAGATGAAGGGACTACTGCTGGGCAGCCCAGGGGAACATGGTAGCAAGCTCCAGTGCAGCTCCAGGGCAGCTCTGCCCATGGGTGTTGCTGGGGTCTGTGTGTGCATTACGTACCCGTGTCTGCATACGCATTTCTGGCCTGCTCGTCCCAGGATTGCCCGCCTGCCAGCTGGGCTGGGGTGTACTGCGTGAAGAGGGACACGACATGGCAGCCTGGTGGGGCCAGCCCCGGGTCCAGCGCTGAGGGAATGCAGAGCTCGATCATGGGCCTGGGGAGCAGTACACCAGCTGAGCAGGCAGAGGGGCACCCAGCCACTCCACACCTCTTTCCCCAGCATCTACAGCCATGACTGTCCTGTCCCTTCCCCAGTGCACCAAGGTGTGCCAGGACAGGCTCCTACCTGCTGGAAGGGTGCCCGTGGGCAGCCTCAGTGAATGCCTGATGCAGGAGCTGGGTGCCCTCGCAGTTGAGATGTATGGAGCACTGGTGGTGGGGCAGGGGCTGTCCATCATGGGCATTGGGGGCAGCCAGGAAGCTGGGCAGCCGGTCTACCGCCACTGGGCATGGGATGGGGAGATGAAGTGGGGTGTAGCCTCTTGCCGGGCCTGGCACCAGTGTTCCTCCAGCAGGGATGGCAGTGGAGTGTCCTTGCTGGTACCTACCATTGATCTTGGTGACAGGGGAGCGTGTGTCAAGCTGCCGGATCCGCTGGACAAAATCCTTCGGCAGCTGCTCCTAGGGTGGGATACACCAGTGCTGGCTATGAGGGGCAGTGAGAATGGGGCTATTCCAACATGCCAAGCCCCCACCAGCCCCATACACTCCATACCTGAGGAATGAGCTCCAGAAAGGTGATTTGGGGGGAGGCGTTGGACAGCACCAGTTTGCTCCTGACCTCTGTCCCATCCTGCAGCACGACACCCTGCGCCTCCCCTGCCCTGCCCAGCAGCACGTGGCACACTGCCTGGGCACGTGAAGGGGACAGGACTTTACCAAGAGCCTCTGTGCTGCCTGCAGGGATGGCCAAGCAGCTCCCCTCTCCCACACACCCTGTACCTTCTCAGCAAAGATGTGGGCTCCCCGGGCAGTCGCTGCCTGGGCAATGGCTTGGGACAGGGCTCCCATCCCACCTGCCACGTAGCCCCAGGCCCCCCGCCGTCCCTCCAGCTCACCCATGACGTGGTGCAACAGCACATACCTGCGGTAGTAGGACCTTGGATTACCTGCTGGCTGAGGGGATGGATCTGTCCCCTGCATGGGTAGTGAGGATGCTGCCACAGCCCCCACAGTCCCCCCATGGGACCATGCCACCTCATGGGATGTAAACTCAGTTGCAGGGAGCACGCACCAGCCAGGACTCAGTCCAGCCCGGGGACAGAGGTGTCCAAACATGAAGGGATAGGTGGGGGCCGCTCAGGAGAGCCAAATGGCAGGGTTGGGGGCAGCCCCTTGCCCAGCACCAACCCCTGAGGCACCCTGGCAAAGCTGAGCAGACAGTGGGAGGGAGAGGCAGGGGGACGGGGCATGGCTGTGCAGCAGAGCCATGCACAGAGCATGGCAAGGGGGGACAGTGCAGGATGAGCCCCAGGGGGAAGGATCCCTCACCCACTGCCAGGGGTGTGTGGGCTGGCCATGGCTCCAATCACAGCATCAGTAGCTAGAGTTGCCTTCAGGGGTTCTGACTCAAACCAGTGATCCAGGATCTGGCCCAGGAGAAAGAGAGCATGCCAGGCTCAGGGTGGGGAGCTGCCGCAGCACCCTGGCAGGCAGGAGAGGAGTGGGTGTTTCCACACCACCACTGCCAGTACGCACCTTGGAGATGGGAGCTGTGAGCACCTCGTAATAGTGGGGCAGCTGCCGGCCCAGTGCCAGCCCTGGGGGTGGAGAGGTGGTGTGAGACCTGCATGGCTGTGCCAGGGCTGGATACTGGTGCCCAGCTGGCTTTGGAGGTCAGTCAGTGGGATAAAGGTAAGCAAGCCTACCAGAGCCTACCAGCCCAGACTGGCCTCCTCAGGAGGCTCTGCATTGCCCATCCCAGGTGCTGGCAAACACCCCTTGCTGTCAGGGTTCCCTGGCATCCCAGATGTACCTGCCTGCAGCAAGGGCTTCAGGGTTTGCAGGTTCCTGAGCTGCTGGAGCAGGGAACCCTTTCCCAGGGCAGCTGTATCCACTGGAGGGGCATCCAGTAGTGGGTCAAGGGCTAACACCATGCGCCCCATGAATGCCTCATACTCAGGGTAGGCCTGGAAGGGGACAGAGGGTGGACAACAAGGGCTGCACCATAGTGGGTGCAATGGATACTCCCCCAGGAGCATCCCTGCCACTCCAGGGGCAGGTCAGCCCCTCGTGGGTTTTGCTGTGCCAGGGGCATGCCCCTTGTGGTACCTGGGCATCCTTCTGGGAGAACTGAGCAATCTGCTGCTGAGTCTGGGCCATGTCATGCCCCAGCAGAAGGGAGCGAGGAGGGCTCCTGTCCTCCAGCAGTGGGGTGAAGGAGTAGGGGTCCCGTGGGAGCACCCTCAGACCGTGCCGCTGCAAGACAGGGATGTCCCCAGTACATGAACAGCCTGGCAGCAGGGTCCCCTTGCTTGCATGCTGGGAGCTGCCAGCAGCCCAGCAAAGGGTGGGTGCCAGTACCTGCAGCTCCAGATCAGCATAGATTTGTGGTCGCAGCAGGCTGAGCAGATATGACGCCCGGGAGAACTTGAACCCTAGAACATGGGGGGTGGTGGGGAATGTCCACCACCAGGGCTGGCCAGGGCCAGGGGGACAAGGGGCATGCAGGGATACCTGGCACAATCTCCTCGGTGACGGCCGCGCCGCCCAGCACGTGACGCTTCTCCAGCACAGCGGTGCGCAGCCCTGCCTGCTGCAGGTAGGCAGCCTGTGGGGAGCACGGCCACACTGCCCATCCCTCCAGCAGGTCACTGCCAACGTGAGCACCCTCTTGCACACGGTGCCCCCCTCACTAGGGAGGGCCTGTGGGAGCCCCAGCCCCATGGACACTGCCACCAAAGCCCTCCCTTGCTCACAGCGCAGACCCTTCCCAGTCCCTTGCTGTCCCCTGTGGATGGAGGAGAGGCAGCACGCCACTCTAGGTACTCACTGCCACCAGCCCGTTGTGCCCTGCAAGAAGAAAGGGAGATGGGCAGAGCCCAGTGCTGGTGATGGGCTCACAGCACAAGGCACCCTGCCATGCCTGGAGCATGGGGCTGTCACAGCCACCCCGATAACAGGCTCTAGACACAGGGATACAGATGACAAGGAGAATCCTCCCCCAGCCCTACAGCCCTGCCCCTAATGGTGCAGCAGAGCGGGACAGAAGTGCTCAAGGCAGATGCTCCCACAGTGCTCTGATGCTGGGGGGCTGCAATTTGTGCCAGGCCCCTGCGTTGTCCCAGGCATGAGGAGCAGTCTGGGGGTTTTCAATGCGTCCAGCACTACTGCGCTCCCCACCTAGCTGCTCCTCTGCTATCTGCCCTGGGGGGAAGGCAGATGTGGGTCCCCGCCGGCTACCCGCAGCTCTACTCTCGCTCCCTTGCTCTGTTACCTGCCCCGATCACCACCGCGTCGTATTCCTGCTGCAGCTGGGCTGCAGCCCCGGCATGGGCCAAACGCGCTCCTGCCGGCGCCAGGGACAGATGCCAGCCCTGCGGCCAGCGGGACGAGCAGAGCAGAGCGGGAGTTCCCCGGAGCGCGGCTGCCCTCGCCCCGCAGCGCCCGGCCATGGCTGCCCCGCGGCCGGCAGCCCGGACTTTGCTTTCGCCGCGGAACTTTTCCCAGGGCTTCCGGGCACGGGGAGGGGTCGGGGGGCCAGGGCAGGGAACGCCTTGAGGAGGCGGGGAGGCTGCTCGGGACAGGGGCAGCCGGGAGCGCTGCCCCGCTGCTGCTGTCCCAGCGAGGCGCGGACCCGGCGCGGTTCAGCTGGGGGCTCGCGGCGGGGCCGGAGACGGGCCCCAGGGCTGAGAAGGGGTCACATCCTGCCTGGGGCTCCCCAGGCTGTACTCCAGGACGGTGCTGAGCAGGCGGGGGGGGCCTGAGAGCCCTCTCCCCCAGCTCCTGTTGTGCTCCAGGGATGATCCAGAGGCACGTGGCTGTGGCGACGGGCCAGGCACGGCAGGACAGACGGAGTTTGGCCCTCCCTCGAGCAGACAAGCCCCAAGCACAGCCCTGAAAGCAGCAGGAAAAGGGGCAGCTTGGGAATGAGCTTGGCTTTGAATCCAGAACTACTGCTCAGCAGGGCAAATTCCAGCTAGCAGGATGGGGCAAAGGCCCTGTCATGGTCCAGTGCTCCCTGAATTGCTGTCCCCAGCTCCAGCGAGTGGCATGGGAGCAACAAGGGGCAGTGGCTACGTGAGTCCCTTGGGGCTGGCCCCATTCCCAGCTGTACTTGAGGTTTGGAGTGCACTGAGCCCAGACGTGCCTGGGAAACACATAAGCTGCCTCAGGATTTACTCCCTGTTCCCAGCTAAGCTCAAAGCTGTGGCTAACTGGTGCCTGGGTGTGGGGAAGGGGGAAGGGGGATGCACCCTAGACCATTGCTCCACTCAAGTTTGGCTACACTATCTTAATCTCTGGCCAAAGCCTGGCAGCAATGCCAAGCTAACATTAAAAATCCTGCTCTGGAAATGCACTTTTCAGCAAGACAGTGATTTGTCAACAACCTCTTGGCCCCCCTCTCTGTCTGTCCCCAGAGGCTGCTGGGTGGCAGTGAAAACCATGGGGAGCAGGAAAAGGGACAGTGCCAGCCATGGCTGGGCTGAAGGATGGCAAGGTTGCCTGTCACTGCCTACAGGCACAATCCACAGCATGGCACACAGACACTGAGAAAGCAACCCAGGCTCTGGAGCACCCACACACCCACTTTAATCCCGGCCCCAGGGTGGCTGGAGGCAGCTCAGAGCAGAGGGATGCGGGATGGCTCCCAGAGGCGCCGGGCCAAGTCGTAGGCCTGCTGGACCACAAGCTCGGAGGGGATGATGCCCAGGTGCAGGGTCAGCAGCTCATAGCACTTCACTACCTCTGCCTGGTGGTTCTTGCTGTAGTAACGCAGCAGCTTCCTGCAGAGGAGAAGACAGGGGCTTGGCAGGTACAGTGCACGCAGGCAACCCCTTTCCAACGACCTTCCCTCTGCAAAGCACTTTGCAAGGACACAGCAAAACCATGACACCAGGCTGGGAGATGGGCTGGTGCAACTCCAGTGACACCACAACACTGTCATCCTGGCATCACTCACAGGGATCCGTGTGCCATCACAGCTTTGAGCCCTGGTGCCAAACCACAGGGCTGGCAACTGCTCACCTGTAGTAGTCCCCTGCAAGCATCCCAATGGGAGCAGAATCATCAGACAGGACAGGTACCTCCATCACCTCCAGCTTGTAGCCCTGGGGAGAAATGACAGCAGAGGGCAGGAGTTGGGATGGGACCACGGAGCAGTCAGAGCTGGCTAGGCCTACAGCCCTGTTCCCTGCCCCAGGGAAAGAGGGCTCAGCCCCTTCCTGGCCCCACAATACCATTTCATTCTCAAACCAGAGGAAGTAGGAGCAGCAGTAGTCACCATCCTGCAGCATCAGCGTTGTATAGCCCTTCTGTAGGTATCGCCGGGCCAGTGTGATCAGGGACCAGACCTGGGGGACAAGGGGCACCAGAAGCCTGAGCAGAAACCCCTCCAATTTCCACTCTCTTCTGAAGTTCCCATCCCACACCTACCACATCAGCAGTACCTTTTTCTTGATGAAGGTGGCCAGGGGACCCTTGCCCAGCTCTGAGCTGGACTTCTCTGTCACACTGAGTGATGGTGCCATCATTTGTCCAGCTGTGCGGTCCACATAGATGAAGTGCACCAGGCCAGGGAAGTCCTCCAGGTACGTGGGATGAGTTAAGGGTGTCCAACAACTTTGGTGCCCTTCTAGGATAGCCTCTGAGCCTCAGGGAAACCACCTTTGCCCACTACATTCCTCCCCTTGATCCCGGTAGCGGGGGACAGGGTCCCACTCCCACATCTGCTACCCCCTTAGGGACACCCCCTTGCCAGGCTGGGTCCCCAGCTGCAGAGATGGGTATGACACCATGGTGATATTGCGCCTGCTCTTCACTAGCAGGAAGTCCCGCCAGTCCAGCAGCTTCTCCCTGCCGAGGAGAGGCACGGTGAGAGGCCACGACCCACAAGCCCCAGCAGAGCAGGGTGTGGGGCAGCCCCCTGGCGATGCTGACCATCCCCATGCACTCACCTCATCAATTTCTGAGCACGGTCCCGCAGCCCTTGGGACAGGCTGTGGCCAGCAGAGGTCAGGAAGAGCTGGCGGTACACGGAGCAGAGCTGACGCTTCACATTGGCCACTGACTGCAGCAGCCTGAGCCAGGGGACACAGACAGCGCCGAGTTTGGACACTGGGTCCCCAGCACTGCAGGGACAGCTCTGCTGATCCCCAGGCTGGGAAAGGTCCCTGCCTGTCCCAGAGACTTTCCCTGGCTTGCCCCTACTCACTCTAGGGAGCTCCCAGGTTCACTCCGTGAAAATATCTTGTTCTTAAAGTCTAACCAGGTGTTCTGCAACTAGAAAGAGACAATTCTGTGTCAGGCTGTGGAGAAAACAGGACAGGGTTGTCATGTTCCCACACCCACCTGGATGTCCTGTCCACTCAGCTTCTTCACAAATTTGTCCATGCGCTGCCGTAGCTCAGCGAGGAATGGGTAGGAGCGTGCGACTCCCACCTCTGGTCCCTCTTCCAGCTTCTTCTCCAGCACCAAGAAACCATCCAGCAGTTGGTACAAGGTGATGGCCACCTGGGTCATGGGGCCCTGCCAGGGGAAGGAGAGGTGGGTCAGGCAGGACACAGTCCCACACAGCTTCCCTCCCCTCAGAGGCAGCTCACCTTGGTCAGTAGCACAAGGGAGATGCCTGGCCAGAGCGGGAGGCAGTGCATGGTGTGTGGCAGCAAGGGGCAGTAACCTTCCCGCAAGCTGGCATCCAGAAAGATCCTTCTGGGGTTGGAAGCTTCAGGGACCAGAGGCCCTAAGGTCTGGAGCAAGTCCTCTGCCATCTGGGAAGACAGGGGAGATGCTCAGTCCCCTGTGGGGATGAGACAGCTCACACCGAGAGTGCTCTGTAGGGATGCAGCATTGCCTTGAAAGCTGCAACTAGACAAGACAGAACTAAAAGAGCTGGAGGGGCCATGTAGCAAAAGATCAGCAGTGAGGAAAGTGCCCAGGGACCCTAAAGGAATGGCAAAGAAGAAGACTGTTGCAAAGACAAAGGTTGCAAATGCCTTAAACGGAGGCCAGTGTTTGCTGCAGTGTGTGAGGGGTTGCAGCATCCATCAGGGAAGCAGCCCAGAAAGCCCAACGGCAGCAGAGGGAGACACTGGACTGCTCTGAGGCAGCCCCACTCTCTGCTGACAGCTCGTTGTAAGCAATGCCTCAGAGGAGGAGATCAGAGCTGTCACAATTATGCACAACATGGGGGATGCAGGGCACCCTCAGCTGCAGCACAGCAAGAGACGAGTGACGAGGACCAGAATCTGCAAAAGGCACTGGGACAGGCTGGTGAGGTGTGGAGCTGGGAGGTGTTGCAGGATACCGTGCTCACCTGGACGTCTGCAGCATCCACCTCCCCGACACTCAGCATCTCAGCACCCTCTGACCAGCTCTCGCTGCCTGCAGAGAACACGGCAGGGCACCCTTCCACCCCCCTCAGAGCCCTGGGGCCTCTGCAGGGCTGGGGGTGTGGGGCACGGCTGCTGCCCAGCCAGGCACTCACCTGTACTGTGCCGGCCTGGCGAGGGCTCAGGTGTGTAGTACACCTCAGGCATGGAGAGATCGTCTGTGTCCTGCCAGCAAAAACAAATGGGTCAGCGATAGCAGCGCTCCCAGCAATCCCACCCTGCAACTCCTGATCTCAAGGACTCACTTGGTCATCTGAGTCCTTCTCAGCAGCTCCATGGGAGCCAGGGCCACTCACAGGGATGCTCTCACTTCTCTTGGGTCCCTGAGGGAGGACATTCCCTGCTGTGGGCTTTCAAAAAGAGAGAAAAATCCCCTAAGCCCCCGCTGTCAAGGCATCACCACATGGACGCACCCAGACTTGCTGCACCCCCAATCCTGCTCTGAAGCACCTGTGGGCCAAGCTCCTCCTCAGCACTCTGACTGGGGTACAGGTCCTGAACCAGGAGGATGAGGACAAGCAGGTCGGCAGGGCGGATGGAGCTGGCGTTGCGGCTGCAGGCCAGAGAAGGACCGGGTCAGCTGGGAGGGCAAATGGCTGCCCTGGGGAGGGTGGTGGGGCCCGGCACACCTGGAGTAGAAGGCCAGCAGCTTGGTGTGTACCAGGAGGAAAGCATGGCCCACTTCATCCCCACCACGCTCGGGGCTGGTGTTGATGTACTGTACCACCTGTCGCTCCAGGAACTCGATGCACTGCTCACACAGCTGAGGATGGATCAGCCGCTCCACGGCCTGGGGTGCAGGAGGAGGGTAGGCTGTTGAGGGTAGCCTTGCAGTCTGAGGGGCAGGTCTGAGCTTCCATTGCTCCAAGGAGCTGCCCTACAGTCCCCAGCCTACTGCCTTTTCCCACAGCCTCCCAGCCTTGCAACACCCCAAAAGTGAGGGCCAGCCCAGACCATTGGTACCTCCACTGCAAAGCTCTGGTCCTCCTCCCGCAGGTGGCTGTAGGTCTCCAGCAGGCCCCGCAGCAGGCTCCACACGCGCTCCCGCTGCTCCGAATCAGCCGGCCGCAACCTGCAGCCGTCACAGAGCGTAAACTCATAGGTGGCTGTCACCTCCCTGCCTGGGACTGACACACCAAAACCCAGCTCCCCGCGTGGGATGGACACACCAAAACCCAGCTGCAGCCCAGCAGGCAGCGGGTCCTGCTGCAAAGGGGGGGTCCCAGCTGGAGACACCCACTCCCACCCCCCGGTGCTGCATGAAGGCAGCTCAGGGCAGCCACCCCAGCAACCGGACATGCCACCCCGTGCCGGTGCCTGTGCCTGCTCACTCCTTGCGGATGAGGTGCGAGTCGAGCGTGACGAGGCCACAGTGAGCCTCCACCAAGCGCCGCAGCACGAAGAGCGTCCGGCGCAGGTCGTCCTCGCTCTGCGTCCCGTCGCCGTTCACTGCGATGTACAGGCAGTCCCCGAACTGCAAACAGCAGCGGGGTCAGGCGGGGGCCGGCCAGGCGTCCGTGGTCCCCGGTGCCGCTCAGGGGTCCCGGTGTCGGTCCTACCATGTGCAGGACGTGGAGGTGCCGCCCGCCCTCGGTGGCGAAGCAGGTATAGGTGTCGGAGAGCTTCTCCAGCAGCGCGGCGGAGGAAATGATGAGGGGGGCGAAGAGGGTGTTGAGGCTGTCCTCCAGCGCCGGGCCCTGCGCCACACTCTCCCGGTCAGCGCCCACGCGCGACCGCGCACCCCACGCTCCCTTCCCCGCGCCGCCCGTCCCGCCCCACCTGCCCGGCGTGGGACCGCAGCCGGCGGAGGAAGGCGGCATCGGCCCAGTAGAAGAGCAGCTCGGCCGCGGTGCTGGCGATCAGGACGCAGCGCATGGCCCGCGGCGGGGGGGACACCGGGACCGGGGCACCAGGACCGGGCGGCTCCACCGGGACCGAGCAGCTCCACCCGCCCCGCGCCGCTTCCTGCTCCGCCGCGCGTGACCGCCGCGCCCACGCGCGCAGCGCCCCCGGCGGCCCGGCGCGGCACTGCACCGTGTGACCGCGGCACCGCACCGGGTGACACCGCACCGTGTGACCGCGGCACCGCACCGGGTGACCTCCGCACCGCACCGGGTGACAGCGGCACCGCACCGTGTGACCTCCGCGCCGCACCGGGTGACAGCGGCACCGCACCGTGTGACACCGCACCGCACCGGGTAACAGCGGCACCGCACCGTGTGACCGCCGCACCGCACCGTGTGACACCGGCACCGCTCCCACCCGTCCCGCCCGGCCCGACCCGCGGGGAACAGAAGACGCCGGCGCGGTTGAGAGCCCAACTTTATTACACCTCCGGTAGCGCCTGGGCGAGTCTCAGCTGCTCCTGCCCGCGACACCGCCAGTCTCCCGGGCAGGACACGCTCTCGGCCCGCCGCTCCGCCCCTCTCCGCTCCGGGATGTATAATTTAATTATCAACATTTCCCGCCGTGGAACCCGAGTCGCCCGCCCGGGGCGGCCCCGGCGCGCCCTCCCCTGCCCCGCCCCGCCCGGTGCATCCCGCGGCGGGCCCGGCCGGCTGGCGGCATCCCGGCGGCAGTAGAGGGAGCTGCTTCCATGCGCTTGCTGCACCGGAGCACTGCCCGCCTCCGGGGAGGGGGTCCGGCTCCTGGAGGGGTCATCCCGAGGGGCAGCGGGACCAGGGGTCGGGGAGGGTGTTCGTCCCGGGATATACCGGGGCTCAGCACCCCAACCCTCCCTGCAGCCAGTGGGCACCAGGGCCCGGGTGCTTCTCGCAGCTCACAGGACGGAGGATGGCAAGCCCTGCAAACTGGCTGTTGCACTGCTCTGGCGGGATGGTGGCCAGGGCATCTGGAGCTCTGCGGTCACAGAGCAGGATGGCCCCAAGGTGGAGGACATCCTGGGGGTGAGGATGAGGGCATGGTGTGGAGCTGCCCAACACGGCCCCACGGCGAGGCTGCGTGGGCTGCCAAGGAGGCAGCGTGACCTGGGCAGTGCACAGGGGCAGGAGCGGGGCTGGCGAGTCCATTGTTCGCCGCAGGCTATCGGTACCGACAGGCCAGCGCGTTCACATTCTTCACCACGTAGAAGCTCATAGTCAGCGGGGGGATGACCAGGGTGCGGCCGGCCCGCAGCGGGCGAGGCTTCAGCTCGGGGAGAGTCCCGTCATCCACCATGGCCAGCGGCTGCCCGTTGAGCTGCACCGACCTGTGGGACCAGGAGAGGGTCAGCGCAGTGGCACTGAGGATGGGACAGTGGTGGCAGTCCCAGCCAGCAGCATCAAACTTACTTGGAGTGGAGCCCGTCCTTGCCATAGGGCTGCAGCAGGTACTGGTGGACAATCTTATCCCGCAGCGTCCCTGCCAGCTTGATTTTCTTCCGGGAGCGATGCAGGTTGATGATGTAAAGGGTGATGGATCCCCGGACATAGTTGTGACTGCAAAGGGGAGAGTGGGAGATGAGGGCTGCACTGCCACGTCCTCAGGGAGCACTGCCTCCAAGAAGGGGCTTGGGGTTCTCTGTAAGAGCTGGCCTCGTGCAGGCATCCAGATTCGCTATCCTGCTGCCCCTTCACCGGGAGATGCCACCACCCCATCATGAACCCTGGCTCTGTGGCGACACCTTTCAACCCTCCCCTCTTCCGCCAGCAGTGACACGGCACAAGAGAACGCTGCCACGGTGTCCAGAGTGGCGGTTGTGGCCAAGGACAGAGTGTCAGTCCCAGGAGTGTCACCCCCCCTCCCCGCAAACCTTGCAAGGAGGAGGCTGAGAACGGAGGGGAGCTCTGTGCGTGAGTGGCGTCTGCCCCCGCCACCCCAGGCACCTGACAGACAGGTCCAGACACTGATCCTCTGTCCCTGCCTAATCAGGCAGCCCCAAACAAAGGCTATAAAGCACTTTGCACCTGTCAGTTACTAGACAAGGTTTCCTACCGAGATGGAGGCATGTTGAAAGCATCTGGACTGTGTAAAGAAACAGTCTCTCCTCCTCCACAATAGCAACTTGTGTCCGCGGAGGAGGTGGCCGCCCCCCCGGCTCGCTGAGGTGCTTTCAAAGACCTTATCAGCGAAACAATAACCAGGCCAGGCTCCCCGGCAGCACGGCCCGGCGGGTAACCCGACCGAGCGGGGCCCCTCGTGTGAAATCCACTCCCTTGATCTCTGGTGCCCAGGCTGCCCGGCGGCCGCGGCACCGGCCCCAGCGGGCCCGTTCCCAGGCGCGGGCTTGCCGCGACTTTCATCGGAGGCATCGCCATTCCCGCACTCGCCCTTCACTGTGACAGCGGCCAGAGCACGACCCGAGTGACTATCCTGGGAAGGCGGCCTGCACCAGCGTGTCCTTGTTGGCTCCCATCTCCTGGGGGTACCACTTATCCCACCCTGTAACCCTCAGCCTTCCTTGCTCCACTCACTTGTGGTAGCTGGTGCAGTGGGCGTAGATCCGGAGCTTGTCGCGAATGACTCTGCCGGGCCGGGGCTTCCTCTGGAGACCGGCCACGTGGATCGCCAGCACCTTGGGACCAATGAGGCGCTTGTAAAGCAGGGACAGCCAGTAGTCCTGGGGGGCAGAGGGGACAGTCAGCAGCACAACAGCCCCCCCTACTCACAGAGGGCGTGGGCAGGAAAGGCTGACTCCCCTGCTTGCAGCCTAGCAAAATTTTGGCGGTTGGGGTGAAAATGTTGTGTACCAGATGTCTGCCTGCCTTGGGATGAGTTCTTTTTGTGCAGTCCAAACCATAATGGCATGGATGTTTCCAGGAAAGAGATTCAGGGAGGGATTCATTGCCCATGCTGAGAGACACGGGTACCCTCTAAAAGAGCTCAGATCTTGGCTGCGTTGCAGAGCATGGGGAGCAGCACGAGCACCCTCACACATACCCATGGACCAACATACAGCTGTGCTGTGGACCTGCACACCAGCTCCAGCTGATGCACACAGCGTGGTGGTGTCCCTGGAGCAGGCTCTTCCCCCACTCTCTACAAAGAGCTGGAGCACATCAGAACTCTCCCCTGCTCTTTGTTCATGGCACACCGGCTTTTAGGTGCTCAGCTTCCCAGAGGTATTTCTCCCATTTTAAAGCCTCCTGTGGAGCATGGGGAAGCCAAGTTCAAGAAAGAGGAAATGCTCAGACCCTGCACACATGCATGAGTGATGCAGCCCTAATTACGTCACCACACACTACTTTTTCCCGCAGGGCATGGCCTCGCACGACACAGGATGGGCCCCAGGCCCCGGAGGGAGGTGAGGCTGTGTGGTGCCGGCAGGGCCCCCCCTCATCCGCTGCAGGAGCTGGGAGGTGTGTGGTAAATGAAGCAGGGTTGGGGAAGGGAAAGGGCAGGCTCAGGCCCTCGCCTGCTGTTCTGCAGGATGGGGCTCTGCACACCAGGTGATGCTGGGGAGACTCAGCCTCTCGCCTTGCTTCTCTGAGTGCTGCCTCTGGGGGCTGGGCACCTTCACACACATGAGCACTCTGGATAAGTGCCCTCTGAACAGCCCAGACTGGATGTCCTAGAAGGGCCATGTGCCTCAGGGCAATTAGGATGACCTTCCCTCCCTGCTGGCAATGTCAAACGCTCAGCAGTGATGGTCACACTAGCACCATGGGCTGACTGCACAGTGAGGAGGAAATGAGTATTGAACAGGCACCCTGTGGCTCTGCACAGTGCCTGGGAAGGGCAAGGAAAGCCCTGCATGGTCAGGATAGTGTGATGAAGGGGTCTTGCATCCCAGAAGGGCATGTGGTTGGGAATGGGGTCTCCAGGCTCCCAGGACGCAGAGGAGAATGGGCAGGTGGAAGTGGAGATATCTCATATAGACTCAGTTATCCATCCTGTGCCTGGGGAGTCCTCCCACAGCCCCTGGTTAACACGCATTTGGGTAAAGAGGTCAGCATATAAAATGGAGCAGTGGGGCACCAGTGACCAGCACAAGGTGAAAACCCACCAGCCAGACTGGACTGCCAGCCCCATGCTCTTTCCAGTTCAGCAGAAGCTGATCTGTTCCATCAGCACTTAGCTGCTCTGGCAAAGAGAGATCCAGACACACTTCTCACTTTCTGGGCAGGATTTTGGCATAATGCTGGAGGAAAAACCACTTCTGTTCTCCTCTTGCTGCTCCCAGCCAAAACCACGGGCTTTGTGCCACACCAGCCTGGTAACTGCTTCCTCTGGAAACTCTGGGCCCCAAAGGAGATGTGAGTGTGAAGGGAGAGGCTCGTGTAGCCTGAGACAGCTCAGCCACAAGGCCAAAACTCCCAGGGAGAATGAGCTGCAGTTGCTCAATGCTGCTTATGTGTGCTGTAAGTGAGGCCATGCCTCTGTCCCTGAGCCTGCTGGATGACTGGGCTGCTCTGCAGTCTGAGGAGTCCCTGCCTGCACCAGGCTTCTGTGGGAAGCAGTGCCAGCCTGTGCTGCTCAGGCTCACAGCAGGCAGGAGAAACAGTACTGCTGCCTCTCTGGCAAGCCACCCTGATTACCAGTCATTAGATGAGAGTAACTACTTGAGTTTGCAGTGAGGACAAAGAAAAGCACAGACTTCAGTGTTTAGCCCCATGGTCATGCGTTAAAACCAAGTTTTGTGTCCTGAGCTACTTGTCAGCTCAGGCTTTTAGGTCTTCTCTAGAAGCCCTTCTGGGGTTTCTCATCTCCTCTCCATATTTCCACTGGTGAGATGCTGCTTTCAGCCACAAGTTACGGGAGTGATAGAGGCCAGACTCTCAGTGTCTTCCCTCAGACACAGAATTTCCGTGTGGATCTCAAGAGCTGTCTGCAGGGGACTCTCAATGGTCTTGCCTCCATGGTGAGCTGGGACCAGCAGCTCCAGCCTCCAGCTGAGCACCCACCCCTCTGGGCTGGGTGTTCCCCAGGGATTTGCTGCTTTGACATCAGTGTCCCTCCACTCTCAAGGCTCAGCAGCAGCAAGGTTTGTAATGTGGGGGTCCTGAGAG